TATAGACCTGCATAGTATCTGAGTGAGTGTGTACTATGCAGGAACTATGTATAGAGTACTATAGACCTGCATAGTATCTGAGTGTGTACTATGCAGGAACTATGTATAGAGTACTATAGACCTGCATAGTATCTGAGTGAGTGTGTACTATGCAGGAACTATGTATAGANTGAGTGTGTACTATGCAGGAACTATGTATAGAGTACTATAGACCTGCATAGTATCTGAGTGAGTGTGTACTATGCAGGAACTATGTATAGACCTGCATAGTATCTCAGTGTGTACTATGCAGGAACTATGTATATACCTGGCCGCCACGTGAAGTACCGCTATGCCACGTATTGCACAGAGGAATGACAAGTACCCCCGTGCTGATGATGCATAGTACTCTTGTATAGACATGTTGCTATGCATAGCAGCACTTCTGTCGGTCGGCAGGTATATACATAGCTCCTGCATAGTACACCCTAAGATACTCTGCAGCAGGTCTATACATACTCACAGCACTTCTGTTGGTCGGCGTGTCTGCCATCTGTCACCCTCTTATGGTTCGTCGTATGTTGGCATATTGAGTCCCACACGGCAGGTCTTTTGCAGCTATTGCTTTCTATAGATTACTTGGGAGGACGGGACTATCTGGTTCTTCTTCTGGGCCATATCGTGTGCCGAGTCGCTGGTCTCATCATTGAACCCACCGCCCCCAGGTACTCCAGAAGTATATATTTTATGAATTTTTATGTTCTTCTTTTTTTTTTTTTTTTTTTTTTTTTCCGTTCATCTGATCATCATAGCTTCTGATTCTGTATGTTTTTTTTAACTTTTTTTAACTTGTGTCTGAAATATTTCTCACACAATTTCAAACCCCATATTGTCCAGACACAAGTGCACAGTTACACCCACCCATCTTGTACAGACAGCAATTAAAACTTAAAAAGTTAAAACTTAAAAAATTAAAACACTCCCTAGCTCAGGGCATACTCACACTAGCATGCATTTTCAGAAAATTCAAAATTGTAAATTTTAGATGATTTTTTTATTTTTATTTTTTTTAGATGATTTTTTTTGGGTCACAAGGGCCACGTATTTGGGTCACAAGGGCCGCGACACAAGGGGCCACGAAAATGGACACATAAATGTCAGGGGCCTGGACAGCCGCGGGGTTACATATTTTGCGGGGACCTATGGAGGTCCCCACAATTGCGTGTTTCTTTTAGACCTAGTATTCCTTTCTGGGAAATAAATAAATAAATAAATAAAATCGACTTTTGGTGGGCAGGCTCTCGTAAAAAAAAAAAAAAAAAAAAAAAGACACAAAAAGGGATGGATTTTTACGCATCGTGCTGTGTGTGTCCCCTCGACCGGCAGAATCGCAGTCAGAGACCAGGTCGCGACTATGTCCTTTCTGTTTTGTGACGTATGCGGGTGTGCTGTGTGACTGGGAGGTGCCGTATAATCCTTGCCAGAGGGGTGCGGCAGGGTGAGTTGGCCGTCAGAGGGGCATACCGCAAATAAATGGAAGTCCGAGGGGCATTTCAAAAGTTTTCCCCTGATTCGAGCCTTCCGCATTGAAAAGTGGAAAAAAAAAAAAAAAAAAAAAGTACTGCCTGCGCCCCACACACACATCGACAGCTACGTGGTCCAAACAAAAAAAAAGGGAAAAAAAAGAAAAGAAAAAAAAAACGAAGAACAGGAACGACTGTCTCACACACACGCAGAGAGCATCGTGGACACATGCAATTGCTCTCCACACGTGCCTTAGATCATACTCACAGTAGCACAATCTTAAATGTATCTGACCATAATTACAGCCCTGCTCGGATGTATCTGACCGCAATTCCGCCCATAAATAAGGAAATAAGTCCTAGTGTGAGGCCCTGACCAATCCCATTTGACTCAGTGCAGGCAGTAGCTGATCCCTCATATTTCTCCATCTTTTTTTTATTTTTTTATTTCTTATTTTTATTTTTTTTACTATATATTCTTCTCTCAAATCTTTCATCATCTTTCAAATTCTTGCAATTCTCTCTCTCTCTCTCTCTCTCTCTCTCTCTCTCTCTCTCTCTCTCTCTCTCTCTCTCTCTCTCTCTCTCTCTCTTTTCAATCCAAATCTCATTTCATTCTTAGGGTAGGACCCCACTGCTTGGCGGTGCTCGGCACATCTGCCAGCCCAAAATCG